TGTAAAAAAGTTAAACAAAAATTTCCCAAACTCAATATTTTCTCATTACTATAAATTCGGAGGTTGCTTAGCTTTTTTGCAAATAACTTTTAAATGGTGAGGAAATCGACCAAAGTGGAAGGTGATATTCTGAAAGAGCATAAAATTTCCTACAAATTGATACCATGTACTTCTTGGAAATACAAAAAAAGGCAGCCAAAAGTCGCACCCAAATAAAAAGTGTGCAAAACACCTTTTTCAATGTATTTCTTATGGAAAACATGTTTTTTTTTTTAATTTCAACCATAAATCATAACAAAAACAAACTTTCATGATTATTTGCAAATCCACACGACTTAAGCTTTCCAACGACCCATTAATTAATAAAATCGGTCCAGTAGAACTCTAGATTTAGTTGTACAACGATTTTTAAAACTGAATTATATATAGAATAGATTGTCATCAATTAAAAATCTTTGTATTTATAAATCTAATTCCAAGGTATCAATAAATTTAAATTTTATATACAATTTGCTCGTATTTCTATTCACCTCTATAACTGTAATAAAATTCAAAGGCCTATTCTTAAAATGGTTTTAAGTCTTCAATTTAAAAATAAGACCAAAACCTAGCTCTTGGAGTTTTTGGAATACACGGTAAAAGAGCATATAAAGTACCTCTTTTGAATTTTGAATAGCCTACATCTATAAATGAAGCACATTTACTGTGTATAACACATTTTACTCCATAGTTGTACTTCAGCAACAAAGACAAACATACAAACAGAAACAATCAAAACTATTTTAAGTTAAGGGCATTGTAGGTTACAAAATACTCCTGATGATATCCGCCTACCTGTTTGTGACTTCTCATTGTTAGCAGAATCGGAACTGAAACCAGCTAACCATAAGTTCAAACTTGTTGACTTTAATTAGTTTTTATTTTAAAAGATTCTGTATCCTTTTTTCTTTTACTTGCGCCACTTGGGTGCGCACGTTTCATTTTATAAACTGAAAGATTTATGTGTTAGTACTCTTTCAAACAATGTATCGGTTTAGTATTTTAGTCGCGACAGCCGCCCAGACAGGCAGACACCACCTCAATTTTATGATACTAAATACTAACCATTTGTAAAAAAGTATACAACACAGGTATAAAAACTAACAAACAAGGTTTTCCTGTGAAAAGGGTTTGACTAATATGGTACTAACTACTATTTCCATACTCCGACCTTTGATTTTGGACTTGCTATAAATTCGCCGTACTAACCAAATATTATATGTGAAAAAATATATGTGAAAATTCTCCCAGCAAAATTGACACAGATGTTGAATAGCATATGTTGTTCTATAGTAACACAACACTAATTATAGTACGTGTAAGCTTTGACTATTCATATAACAACGTGTAAGAAGGTAATGAATATGGATACATAGCACACTAGCTAACGTCTCTCCACCTTCGGAAGTTTTATGTTCTATTATTGATGAGCCATTTAGGCTTTTATGTAAAATCTGTTAACCATTAGGTCCAGAGAGACAATTCGCTAATATATTGAGTTTCCTTTCCTCTAGATCAGCGGTGATGATGGTTGAAACTTGTGTACGATAGCCTAGGGTAATTTTGTAAGAAAAATATCGATGACATATCCATTTAGTCGACCGCCTTACAGAGACTAATTCATTCTTGTAATTTCCTTTGGTACTCATAATTATGTTCTGGAAATATTTGGTTATTAAATACAAAACAAAACACTTATGTTTCTAAGGTTTTAATTTTAATTGAATGAGGATACTGTCAATCGTTCAGGTTTTGAAAATAATGTATTGCATTCAAGTTTAAATTCAGTTAATATTTTTTGAATTTATATTCTGGTTTGCTTTATTGTAGTAGTAGTATTGTATTGTATTGTATTTGTATTGTATTGTATTTGTATTGTATTGTATGTGTATTGTATTGTATTGTATTGTATTTGTATTGTATTGTACTAAAAGCCTAGACAAAATCTATTCAGCTTTTGGCAACAATGATAGACCTACTTATTTTAAGCATTCACAGATGTCGCTTAAAAGGCATAAATCTCTTATATTATTGGTAGGCTATGTCAAATATAAAGGTTGAAGCATATATTTTTTAACAGCTTTTGCTTAGTAGCTGACATTTATCATATGGTAAAATACACCCGCTGCAGCAAACCTGCAGACTAAGCGAATTCCCATTTACCTGATTTGATTTTCAGTTAAATCTATTTCAAAAACGTTAGGGTTAACGAGTACCTAGGTTTTTCTGATACAGGGAGGGTAATAAAGTGTGTTTTAGTAAAACATTAATAGCTCAGTATAAAAGAAATATATTTGCCAAGTTTGATCAAAATATTTAACAAACAAAAATTTTTACTTATTCTCCATAAGAATAGCATAAGAATTTAAAAATTTACATTTTTTTGCATTTTTCCGTAGCCAATAACCGTACAAAAACACTTCAATATACTAAATTATTTGTTTTTTAAGCTCTTCAAAATGGTCTATAGAGAAATTGGGAAATTTTATGTTTTCAGGGTGAAAACGAGAAAAACCTACTGTATTTTTACCCTACAAATCCCCCCAAAACCCGGTTCCCATGGCCCGATATGCTGGTTCGCGAACTCGTCCAAATAAACGTAGGTTTACACGTTTGTACTAAATTTCATCAAAAGTTTATAATTTTTGCTCTAGTTATCGTGCTAATGTAGGCCTACACACACACACACACACACACACACACATATTATATACAGGGTGTCTCAGACCACCCGGCCGGCTTGTATAGCTCCAATATGAAAGCAAATGGAAACCTAATTGCAACTGGAACCCCCTATTTTGACCCCAAGGAATTCAGCTAAATTATTTTCAACCCCAAAAAAGCACCCCAAAGGGCAGATTTTGGGGGGTGGGGGTGGTTTTTGGGAAATTTTTAAATGTAAAGGGGGGTCGTGTTATACCTCTTTTTAAAGGTCCTTTAGTCCTGAGTATTTTAGTGGAAAAAGATTTAAATTATCTTCATCCCTATTTACAGGGTGTTCAAAAACGTACAAAAAATAGCCCTTTGAACTACTTTTCACTGTAAAGAAGTGGAATTTTGTGGGGGGTTCAAATTTTGATAACACTTTAATTGCTAAATGAGCTTTCAAAAAACTCTGGTTTCAACCCTTTTGCTATCTTTTTACTTATGTTACGCATTTTCAAACTTTTTGAAGTTTCAAAAGCTGTTATCTCAAAAATTTCAAATGGCAACATGGGTTTAATTACAAACCACATTGTAGCCCTTAAAATTTGCTATAATTTTTGTATTTAATGTTTTTTGGTATCTTCATTGGTTAAAGAGATATAACGAAATTAGTGTATTTTAATGGTTTATTAAATGGTATTCAAAGTGTTTACTGTGGCAAATGTACACCTCTAGGTCTCAATTAAAACAAATCTTGTCTAAAAAAATAAAATAGTACTCAGATTGTTGATCTTGGAAGATTGATGAAGGAAAGAACACAACTGCAAATGTTCTTAGTTATTTTACAATTCCATGGCTCTAATAGTTTTTTGAATGAATAATTTGTTTGAATCAGCATTAATAGCCTACATACTGATGGACTTCTACAAATGCTTAAATTGCCTTCCATTTTGTTCCATGCAAACCCCAACTTTGTTATGCATGTAGTACTTCTTCTCCACTATTATGGTACTGTATTGCTGTTTTACTACCGCAGGTGCATTCACCTCTCATACAAATCCAGTAAGTTCCTTATAATTTGATTTATCTAATCAAACGTGACCAGTTTCATGCACACGCTCATTGATTTCATGATGATTTTTTTATTTACCAGTAGCATTTATTTAGACAGTATTCATTCAAAGCACTATTAGAACTTTGTAATTGTAAAATAACTAAGAATATTTGCAGTTGTGTTTTTTCCTTTATTAATCCTCCAAGTTTAACAATCTGGGTAGTATTTTAATTTTTTAACATAATTAGTTTTAATTGAGACCTAGAAGTGTACATTTACAACAGCAAACACTTTGAATACCATTTAATAAAACATTAAAATGCACTAATTTCGTTATATCTCTTTAACCAATGAAGATACCAAAAAACATTAAATACAAAAATTATAGAAAATTTCAAGGGCTACAATGGGGTTTGTAATTAAACCCATGTTGCCATTTGAAATTTTTGAGATAACAGCTTTTGAAACTTCAAAAAGTTTGAAAATGCGTAACATAAGTAAAAAGATAGCAAAAGGGTTGAAACCAGAGTTTTTTGAAAGCTCATTTAGCAATTAAAGTGTTATCAAAATTTGAACCCCCCACAAAATTCCACTTCTTTTCAGTGAAAAGTAGTTCAAAGGGCTATTTTTTGTACGTTTTTGAACACCCTGTAAATAGGGATGAAGATAATTTAAATCTTTTTCCACTAAAATACTCAGGACTAAAGGACCTTTAAAAAGAGGTATAACACGACCCCCCTTTACATTTAAAAATTTCCCAAAAACCACCCCCACCCCCCAAAATCTGCCCTTTGGGGTGCTTTTTTGGGGTTGAAAATAATTTAGCTGAATTCCTTGGGGTCAAAATAGGGGGTTCCAGTTGCAATTAGGTTTCCATTTGCTTTCATATTGGAGCTATACAAGCCGGCCGGGTGGTCTGAGACACCCTGTATATAGACTATATGAATTTGAACGGATGGTGTTTTTGGCCTCTCCTATGGGGACATCAAAACGAAAAAGTAAGTCAGTTTTGGTTCCAAGTCTTACCACGAGACCTACGGTAATAGCCGAGAGCACAGAATAGAAAACTGAAAAAGAATAGAAAACAGAATAAAATACTTTCTATTCCCTATATGGGAAATTCGTTAAAAACGTGTTTGTGCTAGGTTACTATTGAAAGGGATAGTTCAAAAACTGAATGTAGAATAATTATCTTTAACCTTTTGAAAAATACCCTAAGAAATTTTGAATATTTTAAATTGACATAACAGAGTGTACTTACCCTTTGTGTTAATTATATCATCTCGTTCATCCTCAATATATATTTCTCTAAAGTTGTCACAATGACAAATGTCAATAAAAATGTAATGCAAAACAAAAAGTATAAGCATTTCTTACGCATATCCGTGTGTGCCAAAATTGTCAATTAACCCAATAAACCTATGTCCTACTAGGTACTCACTTAGAGTATTACTTTTTTAAACGATCACTTAAAAACTTTCATTTTTGCACAAGCTTTATTGTCAGAAAAAGTTATTTTACGTGTAATAATGTTTACATAATCGAAGCCGACATGTTTACTGATAACGGTGCGATCGATTTCACCACTCGACGCTATATACTGTATTCAGTACTACACTGTATTCAGTGAGTGAACTGTGACTTCAATAGTAGTCTTTATGCGATCGTTACGTAAACTCCACACTACTAAATATGGCATCGAATTGTCAGCCGTTGCAATTTTTTTTTTATTATAATTAATTGATTGCCAAAATACTTTTCCCTGAGATAACCGTTTGAATCATAAGTTTAATAATAAATTTTGCACCATGAAATTGCAAAATGGCAGTGCATAATTACAGTGCGTAATTCTTATGACGTGGGAGTTACTTTTAGAGTTCAAACCTTTTAATTCTGTATATGAGTCTTCCAATATTTTATATATTAGTTAAGTTTTATTTACACAGGGTGTTAAAAAAATGGGTACATAATAAACGTAGTGATTCCTTGGGTCAAAATAAAGAGAAACCCAACAATAAACGTTTTCCTACAGTTACCTAACAATGTACATGTTCTCTCACTGATTTGAGAAAGCAAAGTGGCCAATTCGCTCATCACATAACATTGTCTCACTCTAATTACTTTGTCTCACTCCAGATTTGCAACGTGAAGGCACAAATAGTGAGCGCGTAACATGCAGACAAGGTCGTATGCGCGCGAAATACGTTGGCAGCACTGGCTGTAAATCAGCTGGTCAGCTGTGGTACTGTTGTATTTGTTACTTCACATTAAATGGCATATTGAAAGTTCACTTCTGTGTAAAAATATGCTACGTTTCTTTACCAATTTATTTGTTTTATGGTAACTTTAGGAAAAATATAATGTGCAACTCGAGTGCAAAGTGCAATTGCCTCACTCGAGAAACCATTCCTCACACGCCTACGGCTCGTGAGTAAGTATTTCTCTCGATTAAGTCAATTGCTCCCTTTTCTCACTAGTTGCACAAATAACTATTTTCCAAAATCACTTCGTTAACAAAAAGTATTAAAGTATTAACAAAGCCATTTTGTATTTTTTACTTTAACATTCTTATCTTTGGATTGTTACAACCAATCCTTATGAAACTTAGTATGTATGCAGAAGAGACCCATGTTACAAAAGGTTACCTTGATCCAATGAAAATGTCAAAATAGCGGCCATTTTTTTATTTTAATTTTTTTTTATGGCTGATTTTATGAAGAACACCTTTACTAGCATTTAAAATTTGCTATCAAACGTCAACAAGTATAAAAGATCAAATAACAAATAACTGAAATATCATATATATGAATAAGGCTAAAAAAGTCAGGTTAGCCTCATTGTACAACTTATTTTATACTTTATTCTGAAATGGCGACGACTATACGAATGTTGGTATTTTAAGCCAAGTATAAATGGAGCGAGTAAAAATCGTGATATTTCAGTTATTTTCCGATCTTTTGGAACTGGGTGTTTGATAGGAAATTTCAAATGCTAAATTAAAATGTCATTGAATTTTTTTATACAAAAATTAAAATGGCCACCATTAAGATTTTTTATGTTGAATCAGATAACTTTTTTCTAACATGTGTCTCTTTTACATTAACATACAAACTATGTTTCATAAAGATTGGTTGAAACAATCCAAAGATATTTAAATGTTTATGTTAAAAATACAAAATGGCGTATATCTGGAACAAAGCTATTTAGAAAAATTTTATTCCTAATTTTTCCTTTTTTGATCAACGTAAATTATGTCCCCACCCTTTTTTGAACACCCTGTATAAGGTACAAGTAGGCCTACTGAATTTAATTTAACTAATTTAATTATACACAGTGTATCATCCTAGAACTCTCTACCAATATTTTAGGGCATTGTTCCTGAGTAAGACACATATCTCAATATAATATTTAAATTTTCCGGAAGTACTTAGTTACTCACACAGCCACCATTTCTTTATTCACTTATCAATTTTTTTCTAAAAAGTTGTTAAAGATATGATATTGAAACATTGCACAAACATTTACGACAACTAGGCAAAGCTTCGAAGAAATTATGACAATTTTTAAAATTCATTAGACAAATGGCGGCTACTTGGTACCGTTTGATAGGGAATTAAAAATACTAAATAAAAGTGTTCACGATATTTTTTTCATAAAACAGTTGTTTTTGTGTAATTTAAGTTTAAAAAAATAAAATTGCCGGCATATTTTGAAATTTTAAGTTAAATTTTTTGTTTCTTAACATGGGTCTCTTCTACCTTAACATACATATGCCTACAAAGTTTTATAAGATCGGTCGAACAAATTCAAAGATAAAAATGTTTATGTAAAAAATACAAAATGGCGGATATCTGGAACAAAGCTATTTAGGAAAAAGTTTTATTCCTAATTTTTTTTATCCACGTAAATTACCCATACAGCACACTTTATCTTAGGGACATCCCATAGTAGTCCCATATGTCCTGAGAATGTCTCGGGATATGTACGCTAGCCTCAGGATATCCCGCAAAATCCCGGGACGAGTACGAAATCCACTGGATATCCTGTAATGTCCCGGTAACGAACTGAGGAAAAAAACTACTACCACTGATGAAATGTATATCTAAATTTAAATGTTTAACAAGGCCAATATATAATAACTTGTTTTATTCACTAGCGCTTTCAGAAACTAGGTTTCCATCTTCAGGCTGTGTTTACACTAGTACAAAAAGTAAATATTTACTTAATAAATTAATTTCAAACAAAGTTAAAACAGATGATTTAAAGAATATTGGAAAAATTAAAAATAATAGAAAAACTAATCTTTTGAATTTTGGATATATTACAGAGTGTTGTTCTTGATGTAATTATTTTCAGTAATTCCGAGTTTATAATTGGGCCGTCTTCATTATTTAACAAATAATTTTGGTATTTTTATTCTATAAAATAAGATTCCCATGCATTAAGATGTTGAGGTTTTATCATTTGTTTTAAAAGTTTAAGGTTTCCCAAATTGAAAATATGTCTTGTATTAATACTGTGGCTAGCAAAGGGCTGACTTTACTTTTCTGACATATTACTACCACTGAGTTCAGGAAAACTACATAGTTGTGTGAAACGTGTATTTAATTATAACTTTAAATTAATAAAATAATCTAAAACTAATTTTAATCATATAACAATCAATTATAACAGTGCTAATCTAATGGTAATTAAATAATCTATATTCAAATACCAGTGTCCTCTCCAACTACCAGAAAAACAATTCAACTACTTGAGGCCTAAACAGATTAAAGAATCATATTATAAACTGTAGTATCAAAAATATTTTAAGTACACTATTGCGACCATTGCAACTGTCGGCTACTCTTTGACCACTTGGAAACTCTCTATATATATCATCAAGCGCAGATTGATAAGCCTAGCTCAGGAGGTGAGTTAAGAGGCTCATAAGGCGAAGGTACCAGATTCGAGACCCGGCTGGGCCCAAAACTTTTATCTCGTTTTTTTTTCAAAACTTGTGTTTATTAACTATTTAATCAATTTACTTAACTGATAATTAAGCGTTTCATACTAAATCTATGTTATTTTGTGTTTTTTATGTTCAGTCCCAGACAGCACACTTTATCCCAGGGACACCCCATAGTAGTCCCATATGTCCTGAGAATGTCCTGAGGACTACCCTGGGATGACCTCAGATGTCCCACGGATATGCTGTGAGCTTTATCCGTGGGACATCCCCGGGCGGGGACATTACGCATTCCTGCGGATATCCTGAGATATCCCAGGTTGACCATAGGACTACTATGGGATATCTTGGATATCCTGTCGCAATATCCATGGGATGTCCTGAGGAGAAAGTGTGCTGTCTGGGATGTCCCCACTTTTTTTTGAACACAATGTATAAGTACAAGTAGGCCTACTGAATTTAATTTAACTAATTTAATTATACACAGTGTATCATCCTAGAACTCTCTACCAATATTTTAGGGCATTGTTCCTGAGTAAGAAACATATCTCAATATCATATTTAAATTTTCTGGAAGTCCTTAGTTACTCACACAGCCACCATTTTGTTTATTCACTTATTTTTTTTTTTCTAAAAAGTTGTTAAAGATATGATATTGAAACTTTGCACAAACATTTACGACAACTAGGCAAAGCTACAAAGAAATTATGACAATTTTTAAAATACATAAGACAATTAAAATGGCGGCTACTTGGTACCGTTTGATAGGGAATTAAAAATACTAAATAAAAGTGTTCACGATATTTTTTTCATAAAATCAGTTGTTTTTGTATAATTTAAGTTAAAAAAATTAAAATTGCCGGCATATTTTGAAATTTTAAGTTGAATCAAGATGATTTTTTTTCTTAACATGGGTCTCTTCTACCTTAACATACATAGGCCTACTAAGTTTTATAAGATCGGTCGAAATAATAATAATAATATAAACTAATAATAATAATAATATAATAATAAAAATAATAAACCTCTGAAATGATTCAAATTATTTATTGATAACTAGCAGAGTGCCCGTCCTTTGTACGGGGTTGGCGTATGAGTATAAAATGATTATTGCAGTTATCCCGTGCTTAACGTTTGCAATGGAGTAGGACACGGCTTAAGAAAATTTGGTTCTTTTATATACGGTATTCTATACTATAGCACATGTACCATATCCATAATGTTCTACCACTGCACCTAACAATAGAAAAAAGTAAAGTTCTCATAGCTTTTTGTTGCTGCTTTCTTCAAAATTAGCTGTTGTCATCTATCTTCTATATAAATAAAATTACAGTTTTGTCTGTACATTGCTCAGAATTATATATTTTTAGGTTATTTTTACGTTTTATACGTTAAAGAAACAGAAACGAGTCTTATCTCTATTTCTGTATGTCTGTCTGTCTGTCTGGCATTTTACGCCATCTTATCCAGGAAAACGAGAGTGCCTATCAAGATCCAAGTAATTTTAATGTATTCACTGTATTGGCGAGAGTGTCTTTAGCCATTAAAATATGGCCTATACTTTGTAAATAAAATTACGGACGTTCAAAAATGCAGTTTTGTTTGATTTTTGTCAAGTTGTCGGCCAATTTTTATCACATAATCGTCTATGAAATAACGAACAGCTGGTCGGATCA